CTGGGGAATGAAAAGGGGAACAGAGTCTCACGGGAAACTTTTCAAAGTACACTTGGGCCTCCTCTATATTTTGATTTAGCCTCTATCATCCCACATTTAAGAGTAACTGACTCAGTGAGTCACTTCTGCTTGTAGGAGTGGAAAATAGATAAAAAATAAAACTCAGATATGTTGGGAGAGAAATAAGTACCATTCACCTACCTGCTGAAGATAGCCAAATCTCTCTCCTGTCAAACATTTCTCCTGGGCTCCAAGTCCTTTATGTCCATCTTCCTACTACTGAGAAGTTCCTCCTGGGCGTCCCACTGGTGTCCTAACTCAGTTTCTCTAAAACCAAAACAGCTCCCTCCAAGCACATGCCTTTCTCTATTCCCTATGACCAGCTACCAGGTTGTCGAAGCTAGAATACAAACAATGTCTTAAAGCTTCTCCCTTTCATTCAATGTTACTACTCCCATCCTCTCAACTCTGCCCAGACCAACTATGACCTTGATCATGTTCTAATCTTCTGAGCTACCAAAAAAAATTCCTACCTGGTCTCCCTGACACTAGTTGTGCCCTCTATCACTGTGCTCCATGCTAAGAGAAATGCTATAGAACAAAGGATTGCATCATTCCCCTTTTCAAAACTTCTGATCTTTCCTGCTACTCCCAGGGCAAAAATTTGAGCATTGGATAAGTGGACCAGCAAAGGAAGGCCTAGAGGAAAGAAACAGCTGACACCAGAGCCCAAATCAAAAGAACCCTTGAAAAGAGCCATGTAGGTCAGAGAACTTGGATGAGGAAAAAACCAAGGGACCTTTGAAACACAAAGCAAACTGTAACAGCTCACAACACAACCAGGCTTACCCAGCCAGGGCCAGGAGGCCAAAGGGCTATGATAAGAAAGCTGCAGGGCAACTTGCCACCTTCTGAGCTAGCCAAGAGATACCCAGGGAAAATGTGAGGGGGCTCTCAGCAAGGACCTAACGAAGTTACCCTCTCCCCTAACACCTACTCGTACACACACATCCACACGTCCTGACTGCCCATGAACTACACTAGTACCAGCAGAGCGCAATCTGCCTAGAAGCCCAAATTGCCAGGTAATTCCTTAAAGGGCCCACAGGAATCCAGACCAAAGTGCCCCAACCAGATTCCACCTCTCTTCAAAGAATAAAACGGCCTGTCAGCACATCTAGGAAAGGTCAAAACCTCTGGTGAGTCACATAGACAGTGAAACCCCACTCCCAATGAGTCGTGCGATCTTCTCCACAATACTACCCCATTGATTATAGGCACATCAACTTTTTTCTTTATCACAGACAGCTTTGATAAACCTATATGAGTCAAAACCAGCTTCTCTCTGCCAGAATTTTAGGGACCTCAATACCAAAACACTAGGCGGGGCAGGGGAGTCCCAAGAATTTTTCTCAATGTGGCTGATCTGCCAGCCCATACCCTAAGTGGTAGCCAGATGGAAATACTCCTATTTTCTGTAAGTATCTTTGGCCATGCTGCCCCATTACTCAGTCAAGTTAAATCTTATCCATCCTCAGTAGCTTGTTCCAACCACCAGCTCCCTCTGGAAATCCTTAACCAGCCCTCACTCCACAATGCAGGCTTTCCAATGACTGGCAGCTCTTTCCTGGTGCTCGTCCCATTGTAGCATGAAGGAAGTAACTGTGTCTTAGTCATCTATCTTCTGTGCCTCAAACAATGTCTAGCCTATCTGAGATACTCCACTTGTGTTGGATGAATGAACTCCGAAGTCATAAGTTCATCTCCTACGATGCTACAGCGGGAAAATACAAGTATGTTGTGTTGGAAGCTGCACTGGAAACTAAACACTAAATGAGATTCTACTCTCAATCCAGCCAGGTCAAGAACTTGGGGGGGAAATGCACTCATCCTTTTGCAATCATGTACAAAGGCGAAAGAGAACAAGAAACAACTAATGGCTCCCGACTCTACCAGATGGGCTAGGGAAAAAATCTGTGTTCCTGTGGGGGATGGTGTCTACAGACCAGTTTCCCTTGTTACTAAAGTTCATAATATAAAGATTATCCATGTGTTTCCTGCATGAATCAGAAATTTCAAGGAAAATGTTTCAAATTATTCTTAAAATAATGAGCTTGGAGTCTGATGGGACTCTTAGAGTAACACCTAAATAGCCAATGAATTGTTCAACATGAGAAAACATTGGAAACTAAACAGACTATGCTTTCTACAACTGTGTGGTACTATCTGCTCAGATGGAAGAGAGAGAGGGAGGGAGAAACACAGGTGAAGAAGGTTAAGAAAAAGGAACTAAAAATGAGAAAAGGACTGCCTGGGGAAGGTGCAAGACAAAAACAGGTCTCTGGACAGAAAATGTAGGAAAATAAAATTAATGTCTACACAACATGTTGATGTGGACAGGAATAATACGGACTTTTTAACAGAAAACATTTGAAACATTTACTTAGAATCAATAAAAAGTGCTCTCTTACACCACATATATTGTCATCACAAGAAAGTTTTGCCCTACGATGTAATTCAGACTGAAATATGAATTATTGCAAGAAGCTTCTCTGTTCATCTAACATAAATTAGTTATAAGAACCTAGTTTGGGGATATATCTCATTAAGAAGAAATCTGGAATGAAACAGGAAGTGTACATGAAACATTTCTGTAGCACACCAAAGTACTATGGTTATCCTGAAAATCAACTTGTGCACTGATTTTGCATTGTGAGCTAAACTAGCCACATTTTTCATGAACTATCACTTTTACTTTAAAGAACTGAAAAGCTTGGTTATTTAAACTCCTGTATTTGACCTACATTTTCCCAAAAATGAACAAAGTGAGCCTGGCACTTCCAAAGGAAAAAAAAACAAAAAAAAACAAAAAAAAAACAACCCTGACAGTATTTGTTGCGAATGATAAAATTTGAGCTTTCAGGCAAACGTGATTTTTGGAAAACTGCTTCCCGATAAAAAAGAAATAAGGAGACTTTTTTTTCTGCTAAGTAATACTGGATTTGGGAAATAGATACAGCTTAACAAATTGATAGCACTTTATAAGTATTGGGCTTCATTCTCCTTACTGGCTTTAGTCAATTTTTTTAAGTTCTAAATTTAAGACCCACAAAAACAGTAGCTTAAACTGTGTCAACCTAATCGTCTATAAGAAAACTGCCAATTTTTATGATCTATAAGTGATTAGTCTGTGGCAAACGTTAAACTCACACATAACTGAGAAAAAAGTATTAGTATTACGTATCAATTGAATTTTAAGAATCTACAGATAATATATCAATGCGCCAAGAAAAAAAAAAAAAAAGGATGACTACCAAGTAACAGAATTCTGATCTCCTTTGGTTAACATTTTGAGTATCATAACTTCAACAAGTTATTCAAAATACCAAGAAAGTAAAAACATTGTTGCCTAAGTGCAAAAAACCTTTTTCTGCAAAACCTTTCAAAGTTAATGTCTGAGTAACCAACATCACTCAAAGATTTCCAGCCTTTAAAGAGCTACATTACAAAGTAAAAATGGCTATAGAAGGAAGAGTTAATTTCTAAGACTGTCAAAATGGCAGAGGACTTTAAGAAAAGCCAGCCAAATAATTTGGCTAACTATTCTCAAGTCCACTGAACACCACTGTCATTTCTACTACAGGCTTCCAGGGGTTTTTATTTAGCCTAAAGAAAAAACTGCTTTAAAAGAAAATAACGTCTTAAAATATTCACACTTGTTAAAACTTTAACCTCAAATTTCTATTTTGGAATACATCAAGGTTTCAACAATTTATGTCTTCTCAAGCATCATTATCTTAATTTACACATCTTACTTGAATTCAAAAATTTAATCAAGAAAAAGTCACAGTAATTCTGTTCTGGGAAATGGAACAGTCTTCATGAGGTTTGCATCTTCCTTCTCCCCTGCAATTCATCACAATACTCTATTAATCACACAAGACAATGCTCTGATACTAATGCCATCTCAAAATTCTGCAGGTTTTTTCCCTGTATAAGAGGCCATACATTTTTGACTTACCCAGGGAGAAAAGGCCCTGGCTCAAAAGACTACTAGTGTCTAAAAAGAAATAATAGGAGATATGCACTATTACTGAGTGAACAATAAACTTATATTTTACACTAGATACATTAACATTAAATACATACCATAAATATTTAACATTAAACACATAATGGCCAGGAAAAATTCAGAAAAAGTTCTGGAGATACAATATGTTTTAATATCCATACGAAGTTCTTATTTTTTACTCATTAGAATGCCACACCGGCACCTTTCAACCAAAGGGGACTGAGTACTTAGAATATTAAATGACCCAATCCAAATAGATTCTTTAAAAAGGTATTTGACCCAAAATATTATAAATAGGTTAAAATGTTAAACTACAAACAATCCTGTATAACTGTCACTTTAATCACTGTATTATCTCAGAAATCATCCTAACAGGTAGCAGAATCTACCTACCCTTGAAAAGCAGACTAAAGAATGGAGCATTGTTTTCACAAGGAAACTCATCGCCTAAAAATTCCTGAAGTGTGGCACAAATGTTCACTGACCCCATTCTAAAAAAGTGACCTAGAACACTAGAATACATACATTCTTGAACTCAATCACATCCCCTGGTATTGGTTGCTCCTTCATATTTTTAAACCAGTTATTATATCCGAGGGTGTTTGAATAAAACTAGGATTAAGCACCGAGTTTAAGCTTCAAGAGCTGGTATCACATGAATAAAGCTGTCACGAATACTCGAGAAAGCGACCAGGGCATCCGGCAAAATTACACCTAATTTTGCTACGTCCATTTAATGCAGTCTTTTAAGTTAGTTAAACCGGCACAAACGAAACTCATCCCAAGCGATTTATCTGACACGTCTGAAATAACATTTCAAATAAAATGCTTTCTGCCAGTCCCCTGTCTATACACCTTCCAAATCCCATAAGCAACATCCTGCATTTCCTTCGGTGTGACTGTGGGGAGGGTGTGTCTCGGTGCTTACCGATGCCCGGAGCCACATAGACGAAGTAGAGGCAAGAGGAGGAGAGGGAGAAGAAGAAGATGAAGGCGAGGAGGGAGCGATTGGAGACCCGCATCATCCTCTTGAGCACAGACATCTTCCTCTTCCCGGCCAGCAGCTCAGGCTGCGCTCTCACGCCGGACTTGGGGGCACCATCCAGGCCCTAAACTTCCATGAATGTACCAAGAATCCCGAGACTGCAACGGGGTCCGCGCGGGGAGGACCAAGGGGAGAGGGCCGGAGCGGGAAGGAGGGAAGGGGAGGGAGCGGACGGAATGAATGGGAGGCCGGAGAGTCGGGGGAGGGGAGGCGCGGGAGGAGAGGAGGAAGGGGTGGAGGAGGGAAAAAGGAGGCAAGGCGTGGGGCGGGGGGTCCGGGGGCCGCTGGACCTGCGGAGGCCCAGGAAGCGCAAGGACGCGCCTTTTATCCGCCCCGCGGCGGCGGGAGGAGGGGCTGCAGGTGGGAAGAGGCGCGGGCTGCGCGCCGCGGCGCTCCTGCGGAGAGGGCCAGCGAACTGCAGCACGCCCGGGCTCCCCGCGTCCGCTGGGGTCCGGGGCGCTTAGCCCCCGCGCTCGGGAAGCGGCCCGCGCGCGCTCGGCAGGCCTGCGCCGCCGCCTAGTCCCGGCCGCGGCGTCTCGTGCCTGCGCGGGGCTAGCGTGGGCGCCGGGGCCGCAGTCGGCGCGCGCGACGCGCAGGGGCCCGCGGGGGCCCTGGGGGCCGAGGAGCTGAGCGCTCGCGGGCGCGCAGCCTCCTCCTCATGCCGCGCCGGGCCCCGGCGCCCCGCGGCGGCCGCGGGAGCGGTGCGCAGACGAGGGCGGCGTCCCGGCTAGCGGCGAGCGCGCTCCGACTCTGGCTCCTGCCACCGCCAGCTGCCCGCCCGGCCGCAAGGGCGGCAACCGCAGCAACATTACCGCCGCCGGCCTGGGGTGAGGCGACCCCGCCGGCGCCGCCCCCACTCCGGCCCCGGACACCAGGCGTAGAGCGGCCGGGCGACTCGCGCTGTAGGCAGACCCGGGGAGCCCGAAGAGGAGGCCGGCCGCCGTCGGAGCCGCGTCTGGGTCGCTGAAGGGGGATGGGCCTGAAAGGGCGGGGGAGCCGCGGAAAACCGAAGACCGGCGCGTGCGCCCGGAGACCCCGCGGGGCTCCGCGCCTGTGCTCGAAACTGCAGGCGGCGCCGCCCGGGCACCCGAGAAAACCTGGAGGCCCCCACCCACCCGCTCCCCTCCCTTCGCCCCAAACACCGCGCCTCCTGATTGGCCGGCGCCGCACCGCGCCGAGCAACCTGCCCCCTCCCCTCGCACGGCGACCTGGGCCGCTGCCGCCTCCTGCGTCACCGCCGCCCCCGCCAGCCCCGGGACCCCAGCGCCAGCCGCCCTGCTCGGAGCTGAGGGATAGGTCTTGAGCCTCAGTACGCACCGCCCCCCTCCCAGGGATCGTTAAAGAAGGATGGTGTACCTTGAGGGAAGTGGGTATCTCGAGGAGGGTACTTAAATGGTGTAATTTCCTCCCCAAATACACGCTCCGGGAGCAAGAATTTTTTTTTCCGGTCCCGGATTAATGAAACCTTCCATCCCGCACTTCTTACAGAGACATACTGCTAGGATGTGTTATGGATCTATGTATATCCCTTATAATGGGACTTGCCTTCTCATCTGGAGGTGAGCGCCGATGGTCTCTACAGTAGCTCTATCCATTCAGGCGGGGCGGAAAAGACTTCTGTGCAGCCAATTGGCGGTTCAGTACTGCAGCACCAACCCGCTTCAATTGGCAAATTGTTTTAATTCCCCTCCTAGGCCGTGGTGTCCCCTTTGTTCAAAAAGGAGAGACCTTTGGTAAGTAAATAAATTAGCCTGGAGCCTTAGTTCAGCTATCTCAGTTTGCCAACCTGTGTGTGAGGGTGTTTCAACTAATCACGTAAGAAGTGGCTGGTTGCGCCGCCCCCCTCCCCGCCATTATTTGCTCAGCATTTCCGGAGGCAGTGTGTTGACCCATCACTTGATTGCCAGCAAATCTGGTACATTCTTAGCAAGCCTTGGATCGTCTCTTAAATAACACTGTGTTACATGGAGCCTGAAACACCCGGATTTATACTTCACTAAGGCCTTTTATTAACTGTGAAATTCATGGCAAGCTAGGCAAGCTACTACCCTCTGCAAGCCTCTCTCCGTGGCCCTCAAATGATGAGTGTGAGACCACCTTGCAAGGCTCTGGGGTTGAACGGGGTAACTGTAAAATGCCAAGTGCTATGGCGGGGACCTGAAGAGATTCCCTCATATCCCATTTGACAGTTGATTGAATGGAATCGCCAAGTTCAAATTCATTTTTTAATATTTTGGTTTTTTTGGAATTCTCTGGCTGATGGGATATTTAATGTGGAAGGAAATGACACTATTCTGTAACATTTGTAGATGCTTAAGGGGAATGTGAAATACAAACAGGGCAATATTAAATGAAACTCACTTAAAAAAATACCTATGCAAAAGAAAGAAATCTATGAATGGTACAGAAGCAAAGACGTTCCCCTCTCAGACCCTATGGACTTTTCATCTCTCTGTTCCCACAATTCAACCACCATGCTGGCTTAGCAATGGCCAGGTCTCAGGCAAGGTTGACTTTTTATAAGGAAAGTTTATTATGTAACCAAGAGGGAAGTATTAACCTTGTAGAAATTGATTATTAATCTTACTGTAGGAAATCCAACTACTAGGTATAGATGTGCCTTGCTGGCGTAGACGACTGCCACGGCTGTTCTCTCAAGTTCACCACAGTACTTGTTAAAACTAATTGGCTGCTAAGAGAGTAAATCTTAAAAAGTCACATCGCAAGAAAAAAAAATTATAACTATGCACGGTGACAGATGGTAACCAGACTTATTGTGGTCATCATTTTGGAGAGTATACAAATATTGAAACATGCTGTGTACCTGAAACTAATGTAAGATTATATGTCAACTCTACCTCAATTAAAAAAAAATTATAGAAAAAAAATTTTCAAATTAAAAAAAAAGCCTGGTTTGTTCTAAAATGAAAAAGACTGGTTTTCTGGTACTCTGCTTTACTCTTCCCTGGAGTAAAGCAGAGTACCAGAAAACCAGCTCGGTTGGTACTTTTATCACCAGTCACAAAAAGAGGCAGCCAAGCTTCTGGAGCCAGGGAACCTGGGGTCGAATCTCAATCACTCTCTGATCAAGTGACCTCAAAGATATTCATACTATCTATTAATGTCGTTGTAAGGATTAAATTAAATGAGTTAATGCCTCTAAAGAACTTGGGGGAGCCTGTTACCTAGTAAGCACAACTCAAATATTGTTAATTTTTTAAATCTCTCTTTTAGATCACACTCTGCCAACAGTAAGGGTGATGCTGGTCTCTTTCTATTTAAAAACCAAATTTTCTACTGAGTCACCTACGAAGTCTCTGTCTGAAGGATGCCGCAGGGTCTCAGCTCATTTGTAAAGCCAAAGTTCATGAAATACTCAGAGCTCAAGGAACGCTAACCAAACCTTTCCAAGCCTAGATTACCAACTGATACTTCCTCAGGAGCCAGGTAAAGTCCACAGCAGAAAGTTTCATTTTATAACATCAAAGTTTAGTTTTATAATATCCATAAGACTTTAAGCTTATACTAATAAGATGAAACATACACTATTAAGATACAAGTGAATTTCATTGAACTGCTTTGTTCTATATTTATTACCACCAAGTATTCTTTTTATTATTTTCTATGAAAGCCCCCATGCTCTTAAATATTTGGGTATCAAACTGAGTAAGTTTTAACTAATGGTTTTCTATATATATTAATCAGAAATATATTACTGAGATTGTGCTTACAACAAAAAAAATACTTATTGGATGAGGTGGATGACATTTTCCTTGGTCCACGCTGAGTGAGGATAAACAATGTTTATGAAGTGTTTTGGATTTGCTCACAACCTTGGTAGTATAAAAATCAGAAAGGTTTTTTTTTTCCCCTATAAATTGGGGGAAAAGGAATGAAACAAAGCACACCGATTAAATATTACAATCACTGATTAAATATAGTAATTTTATATATTTAAACACAGGGCCTGAGCACCTGATATTCAGGTAAAGAAAATTGTTTGGTTGATGAATTATGCTTAGACAGTTGAATTTTTTTTGCATATGTAATTGGAATGTAGATTGTATAAGAGTTAGACACTGGCATGGTCTATAAAATGGAATATATATTCCAAAATATTGTTGTAGCCCAGAAATTTTTTTTACTTTGAGCCCAACATGGGGCTTAAACTCACCCCCTTGATATTAAGACCTGAGCTAATATCAAGAGTCAGATGCCTAAGTGACTGAGCTGCCCAGGTGCCCCCAGAAATTTCTTAAAGAAAGCCCATTTCCTACTGATTTCCATGATAAATATAGTCAGAATTTTTACTATAAGTCCTTATATCTTATTTAGGTTATAATAAACTTTAAAATAAATGTCTTACATTTGAGATCAAACATAATCACTTTAAGGCCAGACTGTTAATAATAATCATATATATATGAAATAATATAGACTTTATGATAATATGGTATTGTGGTTAAAATTTAAAAGGAAAACCACTGGAGTGATGAGAATCCCTACTGCAGCAGTTGACCCAAATTTCATACTCCTCTCAGATTGCTTAACGCTTGCATCTGAAATCCAAAATCATTCTTTCCCATCATAAGAATGCCTTCTAACATTTCCAAGTATTCAAACCACCTACTTCTCATTTTCACAAAATCCCTTTGGCATACATTTAGCAAGTATTATTATGTCACTCACGATGAGGAAACTACAGCTCCATCAGGTACAATGTGTGGCCTGAGTTCACATGATAATGAGGTAGCAGCAGAACTGGGGAAAGACCTAATGTGTTAGCAGCCTTCCTGTGTCCCTTCCACAAACCACACCAGCTCCCGTCTTCACAGGGATTACTTTGTCTATGAGGGCAAATGTTTTATTTAGTGTACTTTTCAAAGTTTTCTACAAATAAATAGGTGCTCTCCGTCTTTCAGGCTATCTTTACTGATTTTGTCTCTGACATCTGTGTC